CCCATAGCTTCATCCTCCTCCTTCTTCTGCTCACACTATTCACTCCCTATGCTGATAAAAATAATGGAAGGGAAGAAAGGCAGGACCATCTTGCTAACCTTTGGAACAACCTTTATATTATGTGGTTCAGAGAGAGGATAGGCTGTCCTTCACTCTAAGCAGAGAGTAGCACATGGAATGTTTCTGCCATCCGCTGGTGAGGCGTCAGAGGCGGCTCGGGAGTTCATGGCTTCCATGACGGCCATGGACCTGACCCAATTAGTTCAAGGCCCCACTCACACAGGGGGACACACTCTGGACTTGATTTTCGTCTCTGGTCAGTGGCTGAATGATCTAGGAATAGGGGATCTAGACATCAAGCCTTTGTCATGGACAGATCATTCTCTCCTTCACTTAGACTTTCGAGCCGCTACCCCCCACCGCAGGGAGACGGAACCGACTAGGTGATCCCGTCCCAGGCGCCTGATGGACCCTGACAGGTTCCTGACGGAGCTTGGGCCATTTCCTGAGACTCTGGCACATGACTTGACTGAAGACCTGGTGGCCGCCTGGGATAGGGCGGCCATCGGAGCTTTGGATCGCGTCGTGCATTTGCGGCCTCTTGACCCGATGCCGATCTCAATTGGCTCCTTGGTTCTCCAAGGAGCTGAAAGAGATGAAGCGTCGGAAAAGACACCTAGAGAGCGTCTGGAGGACTAGTCAATCTGATTCTGACTGAACACAGGTGAGGTCTTATATCAAGACCTACCTAGTGGCGATAAAAGCGGCAAAATTTAACGCATTGCTTAATGCATTGTAAGCCGCCCTGAGTCTCCGGAAAAGGGCAGCATATAAAAATAAATAAATAAATAAATAAATAAATAAATAAATAAATAAACAAACAAACAAACAAACAAACAAAATTTAACTATTTTTCCGCTCTTATCACATCTGCAGAGAATCGCCCAGCCGCTCTGTTTAGGGTGACTCGCTCCCTTCTTTGGGTGGGAGTGCAGGAAGATCCCTTGCAGGGTCGAGCTGAGGATTTTGTGCAATTCCTGCATGATAAAGTCGCTCAAATTCGGGAAGGCTTGGACTCCGACTGGATGAGTCCAGGGGGGGTGACGGGGGTAGGTCTTGAGAATATTATCTGGGAAGAGTTTGACCATGTGGCTCCCGAGGACATGGACAGGATTCTGGGTAGGCTTAGTTCTGCCACATGTTTACTGGACCCGTGTCCCTCCTGGTTGGTACCTGCCTCTCGGGAGGTTACACGAGGCTGGCTCCAGGGAATTATAAATGCTTCTTTGAGTGAGGGTGCCTTTCCTGCCACCTTGAAAGAGGCGGTGGTGAGGCCTCTCCTCAAGAAGCCTTTCCTGGACCCGGCTGTATTAGCTAATTATCGTCCGGTCTCCAACCTTCGTTTTGTGGCGAAGGTTGTTTAGAGTGTGGTGGCACGACAGCTCCCCCAGTACCTGGATGAAGCTGTCTATCTAGACCCGTACCAGTCGAGCTTCAGGCAGGGGTACAGCACGGAAACGGCATTGGTTGCATTGGTTGATGATCTCTGGAGGGCTCGGGACCGGGGTTGCTCCTGTCCTGGTCCTATTAGATCTCTCAGCGGCTTCTCATACCATCGACCATGGTATCATGCTGCAGCAGTTGAGGGGGTTAGGAATAGGGGGCACCGTGTTGTGGTGGCTCTCTTCCTTCCTCTCCGATCGCTCGCAGTTTGTGTTGGCAGGGGGGCAGAGGTCGACCTCGAGGCACCTCACTTGGGGGATGCTGCAAGGGTCGGTCCTCTCGCCCCTTCTGTTCAACATTTATGTGAAGCCGCTGGGCGAGATCATCCATGGTTTTGGGGTGAGGGTACATCAGTACGCTGATGATACTCAGCTGTACATCTCCACCCCGGACCACCCCAACGATGCCCTTGACGTGATGTCCCGCTGCCTGGAGGCCGTGCGGGTCTGGATGGGGAGAAATAGGCTCAAACTCAACCCTTCCAAGACCGAGTGGCTGTGGCTTCCGGCATCCCAGTATAGTCAGCTGTCGCCATTGCTGTCTATAGGTGGTGAATTTTTACCCCCCACAGAGAGGGCTCGCAATCTGGGTGTCCTCCTGGATGCACGGCTGTCTTTAGAAGAGCATATGACGGCTGTGGCCAGGGGGGCCTTCTATCAGGTTCACCTGATCCAACAGTTTTTCTGGACCGGGACACCTTGCGCACGGTCACTCACGCCCGCGTTACCTCGGCTGGACTACTGTAATGCTCTCTACATGGGGCTCCCCTTGAAGAGCACTCAGAGGCTCCAACTGGTCCAGAATGCAGCTGCATGGGTGATTATGGGTGCAACTTGTTGCGCTCATGTAACTCCTCTCCTGCGCGAGCTGCACTGGCTCCCAGTAGTCTTCCGGGTGCGATTCAAGGTGTTGGTTACCACCTTTAAAGCACTCCATGGCTCAGGACCTGGGTACTTACGAGACCGCCTTCTGCCACCAATAGCTCCCACCGACCGGTTCGCTCCCACAGAGAGGGACTCCTCAGGGTGCCGTCGGCCAAACTATGTCGGCTGGTGACACCCAGGGGGAGAGCCTTCTCTGTGGGAGCTCCTGCCCTTTGGAACGAACTGCCCCCGGAAATATGCACAATCTCTGACCTCCGAGTTTTTCGCTGTGCCCTCAAGACCCTGCTCTTCCGACAGGCAGGGCTATCTTTGTAAAGGAGTTTTAAATTCAGGGTTTTAAATTTTGGGGTTTTAACGAATCTTGGCCGTAAATGTAATAATTTTAATAATTTTTAAATTTAATTGGGATTTGTATTGTGTTTTTTACTTGGCTGTGCACCGCCCCGAGTCCTTCGGGAGAGGGGCGGTATAGAAATAAAATTATCTATATCTATCTATCTATCTATCTATCTATCTATCTATCTATCTATCTATCTATCGCCGAAAAGGTTGTAGAAAAAATGGTTTTAAAAGTAAAAAAAAAAAAAAAAATGGCCATGCCCACCCAGTCACATTACACCCCCCCCCCAAGCCATGCCCACAGAACTGGTAGTAACAAATTTAGATTTCACCACTGGGATAAACCATTTATTCGATATTTCTGGTAACTCCAAATGGATTTTTTCCTGAACAATGGCTGAAAAAAAATGATGATTTTTGGATTTGGATAACAGTTAGGCTATGAGGAAAAGATTTTTATTTGTAACTTTTAAAAAAGGGTGAAAAGCATGTTAATTTATGCTTGGTGTAATGAAGGTTGGAAGTCACTTTATTGTTGCTTTTGGTATATTTTTCTCTCTACTTTTATTCTTGTCTTTTTTCTGCACTTTTGAACTTTTCTTTTTCTTCTAGTTTGTCTTGGTTTTTACTATTTTTTATTAAACACTTCAATTAACAACAAAAATCTTGATTACAAATGTAGACAGCTGTTGACAAAACTGCCAGCCATTGATGCAAATATACGTGGTGGTAACAACTGAATTATATCAGTGGATTCTTCATATTAACCAGAATTTGAAGGCAACAATGTAAATTTGAGTGTCTGCACGTGTTAATAAGCTAATTTTTGAGAAAAATTAATGGCTAGCAATGGAAAGGTTATTCACGGTCAGTTGGATAGGTCAACTGAGAAGAGCATAGGCCATTAGATCAGTGAAAGGACAAGATTGCATGTCAGCCTCTACTGACTGAAATAAATACTGAGAAACTGAATTTATGGTTTGTTCTATCACATGAGCTATGTGTGAGATACAGGGATTTAGTTATGGAATGCTGACTTGCTGGTTACCTCAGATACAGATGCTGTTGTGCATAAATAATTGGCTCCATGCTTGAAATAAGATACTGACTCAAATTTACATCCTGTGGAGGTTCAGTGTCACAAGTACACTGATATCACTAGCATCCTTTGGGAGATTTGTCCGAAAGCTAAATATAGCTTGTTTACATTTTGTAAATAAAATGTAAACCAATAAAAACCAAATAGCTTTTAAACCTTTGTTAACAATTCAGAATTAACAATATTGCAGAGTATACATAGAAGCAAAAACATTTAATTTTATTTAATATTATCTAGAAATGTGGAATTAGGTAGCAGAAAATTACCATGCATTGTTGTTTCAACCAAATGAAACTAGGTAAATCATCTTCTGTATTTACTTTCTGGCAGTCAACTTTTTCAACAGACATATTCAAATCCTTTCCTGTTTTCTAGAGCCTTACTACTATGGTACTTAACTGCTACAGCCAATAAAAAACCCTATTAACTCTTTGTTGAAGGTACCCTTTCGATTGTAATAAATCACAGCCTTGCATGGAGACACCATGCAACTGTGCAGCTGGCTGACCCCATGAGAAGTCCCACAGTTTTTGAAATTTTTGATAATGTTTTGAAATTTTCTAATGTTATATAATTGTAACATTTTAAAACTTGCATTAATTTTAATATTTTAATGTTAATTTATGCTTATTGATTACATTGTATACCACCCAGAGCCCCTATCTGAGGGAGATTTTTTTTCCAGGAGCTCATTTGTATTTGTGTTTTTATGTATCATTTTTCAGGTTCTCTTATCCCTATTAACCTTGTTCTTCCTTTAGATTTGCAAATGACATTATAGTGTGTTATCACTCTTTACTTTGATTCATTCCAATCAGTTTTCCTCAGATTTTCTTCTCCAGTTAATCTGAGCTACCAACATGGCATAACTACTTTCATCCAAAGAGGCTGATATTTTCAATACATACCAATTTTTCCTGATGGGCAGGATTAAATTTATTTTCATTTGAAAAATGAAATTGTCAGCAAGATCTGCTGGATGCCTCATTCTTAGTTGAGTTGTTTTTCAGCAGATATTGGAACATGAAGACTTCCATTACAATTATCTGCCCTCTACAAAGCATGGTGAGTTAATTTAGAAAGTAATTGCTTAGAATATTTTAAAAATATTGATACATAATTAGGCTTTCAATTATATATATGTTTAAATGCAATAAATCTATTCAAAGCAGACGGACAGTTGTTAAATTGCTTAATTTTATTTCTGAAAGAGCAAGAGAATGACTAAGCCAAGAATGTCAATCCCCTCAAGAAAAAAAGTTGAATACAAAGTAAAGGTAATTATCTCAAAAGGTTTTAATATAGTTTTCAGTAAAACATACTTTGAAAATTAAAATTATGCAAAATAATCATGAAGTAATTAATAATTAAATGTCCTTGTCATATTAACAGTAACATAGACTTATTGACAGATAAAATTTAACAAGTAAACAAATGTTCTTTGCAATATTAACAGTAACATAGACTGTTCATAGATACAATTTAGCAAATAAAGACTTTACTAGAAAATTGTTAGTAAACATGATTACTACTTCTTTAACAGAAGTTAAGCTAATGTTACTTTTTGTCCTGGTTTGAAAATTGTTCCACTGGATTCTTTTCTCTTTGGATTTTGAAAATTTTCATAACTTGAAAAAGAATGAAAAGAAAAGAAAGAAAACGGGAGCACATTAGTACCAAGCAAATGTTGTATGAGGTAAATATTCAGGTTAAACCCATTCAAGGATATTTTTAATTAATTGGTTTAGTACAATTTTTTGAAAGTCACAGAAATGTTTCTACTTTTTTCCCCAGCCTCTATTGAGAAAACCAGAATAGATTAAAAAATATTTCATTATAGTTAATATTAAAAATATAATCAATTAATAAACATTAACATAATAATCAAAATTATTATAACTTATAAGGAAAAGGGTTGCTACTTTAAAAGCTAGAATATTATACAAATAGTCCCCGACCTACAATTTGAAGTTCTGGCAGATTTCCCTAAAACTATCTATGACCTAGACTCCAAGTTCTGATGGCCCCTGTAGTCACACTGTCATATTCTGGGTACTTGGCAATCAGCCTACATTTGAGGAGTACCTGTATGGTAATGATACAACTATCTGTCATTGCTAAATAGCAGCTGTGAATGAAGGGGACCAAAGCCCTACTCACAGGAATAGCAGAAGCAGAGTCTGGGTCCAAGCCATAGTTTTACTCATCATCCCAGCTTGAAAGAGGATTCAAAAGAATCCAGAAGAAAACAAGCTGCTTATGTGAAACCATTAATATTTAAGAGAACATCTGAGCAGTGTTTGCCTCTCATAGGAGTTCTGAGCTTATGCTGAATATCAATCAGAATATCCCAGCATTCAAAGTCATTACTATGTAAGCTCTAACCAACAGAATTTGCTAATTAATAAGCCACAACTGCTAGGTAACAATATGAAGAATGCGAGTTACAGCTGAATATAGTCTGCTCTGTTTTTTTTTTTTTTATGCATGTAAAGAACTATTAAAGTGACATTGGACAGTGAGCAAAACTTAATTTTAAGTTTAATTTTAACCCTGGAAATGAAGAAAGAAATACAATCAAGCTCTGCCTTAATTCTCCTTGGCTTTCAAGATTGTGTTACTACTATACATCAATAAAGAACAGAGCACTTCCTGTGGAGATTGTTCCCTGACCTGGCGTACTTCAATTGTTGACAATACAGTACACGAAGATGATCAGAAAGCTTTCTTCTCACTTGATGGCTTTTCAGTATAATTGAAATGCTGGCACAGCAGAAAGTATATGGTCAGTTGCATGGAATTTCTTAATGGAGTAGCTAGATACCTAATCACTAATTTGGAGATGGTGCAATTTAATTTCCAGTCAAAGGATTACATAGAAAGGGACTTGTGTGTGTGTGTGTGTGATCATTAATATCCTACATTAAGATATAGTTAGCTTATCAGTCAAGAAACAGATGTGCAACACAACTGATGATTCTCCAATTGCATGAACGGTTTCTGTCATATCTAATCCTAAAGTACCCACCAGTGCTCTGGAAAGCAAAACCAACAGATTTAAGCAAAATATAACACTGGAGAACAAACAGCAGCAGCACAGAAAAAAACTGGAAGAAAACAGTTTTTGAGACAGCTTACTGAATAGTTGGTGAAGCATCAAAATGAACAGTTATAAGTTGTCTATAAAGTTTTCAAGTGATAGGAAGTAGTGACAAAGTTATTAGTATCAACTGGTTAGAGGAACATAAGATTATTAGGGCAAAGCACTGCAAATACCCACTGGGATGGTGCCATCTTGAAGAAAAAAGTCCCTGTTATGCAACAAATGCAACATTTTACAGATGCAGTATAATAATGGCCTAGAGATTCTGAAAGCAATCCACTGAGTCACAAATAATTATCTCAGGGTTAAGAGAACTGGTTAGAGCAATGGTGATGTTTAGATTTATTTATGGCTATTTAGTAAATTGAAGATAGCAGATAGTAGAAGATTTAACAGAGACAATACAAATCACAGAAAACAAATCAAGTGCAGAGCTACAGGACAGTTGACATCCAGCTTGGTCCAATTTGGGGGGGATATAGTAATATTATTAGTCAAATACGTCACCAGAAGAAAGCCAAGTCCTTCTCTCTGCCCCTCCTCACCCACAAGAGTATAGGAATGATATAAACTATAAGAAAGCAGATTCAAATTGAATCTTGGGGAAAAAAACCTTTTTAACAGCAAGGATAGAACAAAACCAAAGATGTGGATTGGTAAAAGACTTCTGTCCTCTGGATTTAGCCAGAACATAGATAGGCATATTTCCTGGATGTTTCAATTGGATTCCTGTATCAAGCAGGGGACTAAACCTCATAGCTTTAATGGACTTTTTAGTTCTATGGTTTCTAGTTTCACAGAACCAAAATGGTTATAGCTCAGATACCTGTAGATCCTTTTCCTAGTACTAATAGCATTGATAGGGGTGTGTGGGCATCTTTAATCTAACTTGTATACAAACAGATGAGATTGGAACTGTTGCAAGTACTCTTCTTTTATAGATTACGAAACATATTAATATTTTGAGCTTCTTAAATTGTTTAATTGAGCTTCTTAAATTTGTTCTCTTTGAGAACAAAGAGAATATGAAATAGTGCTGGTTAACAGGCGTGATTAAAAACAAGTTTCAAATTCTGGAGTTCTATTTTGGAAGTAGACTTAAAATCTTGAATGATTATTTATTTTGTATTTGTATATGAGATCTAATATAAATATTAGATGTATGCATATTTTGCATACATTTTAAGGATATTTTAATATCTTTAAATATGTTTCTGATCTTTTTGAAATAGACTAAATAAACTAATTTCCCAAAAATTTTATGGATAACATTAAAAAAGAATAGCTCATATGTTCCTCAGATACTTACAGTTCAGCAAACTTATTCCAGTCTTCCTGACTAATGGAAGGCTTTGTACTTTCAAGAGCAGCCATTAAATGAATCTGAGTAATATTTAAAGTTCTCTTGGATGACATGCAGGTAGTGCCTTCCTCCTGAAAAATGAATTAAGGAAAAACATTTTAACATATTAAAAATGTAAAATTTAAACATCTTTAAAATAACTACATTTTTAATCTCCTGATAATGACATCTGAGCTTAGAGATTCTACCAAACCTGATTTTAAGACAGAGTATCGGGGTGAAATCCAGCAGGTTCTGACAGGTTCTGGAGAACCAGTAGCGGAAATTTTGAGTAGTTCAGAGAATCGGCAAATGCCACTTTTTGGCTGACCCCAGAGTGAGGTGAGAATGAAGATTTTGCAATATTCTTCCCCAGAAGTGGTGAGGGAATGGGGATTTTGCAGTATCCTTCCCCTGGAGTGGGGTGGGAATGGAGATTTTGCTGCACCATGCCCACCAAGCCACACCCACAGAACTGGTAGTAAAAAAATTTGGATTTCACCACTGCAGAGTATGGTATATTTTCCAAATGTTACAATAAAATCCAGATTTATTGCACACTCCTAAACATTTTATCCTGAATTACCATAGTAATAATAAAAATGACACTGAATGATCTTGTAGTGATTCAGTAGCACTACAATCAAGGCATCTGCAGCCTTAAAATTTCCTTCTTTTAACATTATCTAAGAAATGCCCAGCCTTTAAAAATGTATTTTTCAATTATCAGCACCATTTCACTGATGGAGTCAGTCCCATTTTCAGTGAGTGCTAGAAAGATATAGATAACTATACTTGAATTTTGTAGAATTATAGAAAAAAAATAACATTCCTCATTAACTGTGGAGATGAGCATGTTAGATATATTTAGGAGGTTGACTAGGAATTGAAAATACATCCTAAACGAACCATTCTCATCATTACACAGAGTAAGGCATCTATCTCTGGTAGATATTCAGAGGCAAATGATATTCCAATTGGTAGCTGAATCTTACTTTTAATAAGGTTATCTGGTTGGATATTTTTGAAAGGAAGTGGGAAGTGTATAATTTTGTTCTTTATCATAGGCTGAAAAATATCTTGGATCATTATCCCAGATAAGGGTTAAATGTTAAAAAATAATCAATGAATAGTTGTTCTTTGAATACCTGTGTATTTTTGTCATCTTGGCTCTTACACCTAGAACCAATTTAAAAACTAGGACAGATGGATATCTATCTATCTATCTATCTATCTATCTATCTATCTATCTATCTATAGCTCTATGGCCCTCCCCCCATCTCCAGCATTCTGAGACACCCCAGCTTTACCAACATCTATCTTTCTGCCCACTTTGAGGTCCCCTTTGCTATATATCTCTGCACCCTTACTATACACATTTTTTATATTTATATTTATTTTTTATATTATATTTTTTATTTTATTTTTATGAGTATTTTTTTATACTCATCCACCAGGGTTAATTGTGAGAATCTTGATTCCACTTTTCTGGTGACTTTGCTCCAGATCACCAGCACTAGCCTCAGCATACAACACCAGGGAACATCACATTTCCAATTACAGAAACAATTTTAATTGTTTGGGCCCAGGATATAATTCTACGGGCACACCTTCTGCAGTACTTACTAAGAGTTTTGTAGTCGTCACGAGCTTTGTTAGCACGAATAAAGGCCTGAATTTTCACAATGTCATTGATCTAGGCAGAAAGCAGAGGGCAGACAGTTTGCATCCTAGTTCACTAATATTTATAATGCATCAATGCGTTTGTGTTAGCAAAATGATTCTTACATGATCCCGGAAGAATTGTAACCGATCTCTGTACTGTTTTCGGGCCTGATACATCCTAGTCATTGCTTGAATCTATAGAAATAAGAAAACAAAATCACCAGAATCAGGAAGAAGAATACCAAAGCTCAGTAGCTGTGGAAGTGTTTGTCACTTAGCAGAATACCAGAATTGGAAGGACCATGGAATCCAACTTGGGGACTTGAATCTCTGGCAAAACAAGTGCTAGAACACTGTGCCTCAATGCTAACTTTATTAAATATCTGTTTCCCCCTGGAAATATTTGCCTGCTAACTAAATTGTTTTAAATTTATAGTTATATATATTTCCTATTTCTTAACCAACCTTCTCCTTCATTTAATTTATGACTGCAATAATCTTGAACATTTAATCAACTATGAACACGTAAGATGCTAAACCTGTTTGAACTGACCATAAACGGGCTTGTTTTCTATACCCAAAGAAAAAATATGCAGTGGCTTAAGATCTGCATCTGATCCTGTCAGGTCCACCATTGTGTCCTGCCACTCTGTTGGACGGAAGGGAGGAGACTGACATTTCTTGCACGCTTTTGCTTTTGCTGTATGCTTGGGAATTGAGGGGGATTGTCTTCACAGACTCCCTCCCAGCCAGTTCCAGCCCTGTTCCAAGGCCATCATGCCTGAGAGTGACCTGTTATCTGCCTAGCAACTCAGTGTTCTCAAAACCTCCTTGTTGCATCACATTGGCTGCCTGTGGAGTGGTCAGGGGGGTTGGGTTTGGGGAAATGGAAGAATTGCTTTGTGCTTTGCATGGGACCTTCAGATTCTGCCTGACTTTAGTGCAACCACTTTCTCTCAATAAAAGTTCTTTTGATTCAACTCAATGGAGTCAAGAGTTTTGCTTTCCTGAGCAACCAGCTGGGGCAGGTCCTTACAGATCCTCTCAAGGCAGTTCAGAATGAGGCTGAAGCACCAAACATCGCTAACCCAGGAGAGAGAAAGCATCACAGAAGGCACTCTGAAGCTTTAACTCTTGGGTTTATCTGAAGAGACCGAGGCAGTCTGTTCCCCAACTTGGCCAGAAAGAGTTACCTTCACTGCTTCTCCTGTGTGAGTCTGCAGATACTTCAAACGATCTTGGTATGCTTTGCGCTGCTTGTAGCCACGCCACTGAGACTAAAACAGAATAAAGTGTTAGAGTTCCCAGATGCCCCAGATGATCTAGCATGAACCACTCTCACATCAGTAATCTGCTGGACTGATCCACAATTTGTGTCCTTAAACTAAACCATCCTCTCATCCCATCTGCTGTCCTTCTTAACAGTCAGGCCAACCCAAGACATGGCTACTGAGCTATCCTGGCTCTGTCCAAGACAGAGATAAGAAATACTGTTTAAAAAAATAGCATTCAAAACTTCTGGGTGGGGAAAATAGTAATTTGATGTGCCTCTGATGATAGGAAAAAACACTGAGGCGGTGACTGGTGATAGGTCGGTGAGCCCGGATCAGCTTTTCTGATGAAGGATAAGCAAAGGATTGCCACATATAGTCCAGAAGGTTGCTCCTTGGAAGGAAATCACAGAAGAGAACCTGTCAGCAACTGCAGATGTAGAGCCAGAAGGTTGGCTCAATCCAAGTTCCACTTTTTGAAGCACATTTGGATGCAAATACTATGACTGCTACAGAGACCTTCCAAACAGCAGAATAACTAGACCTCATCATTTAGTGAAATTATCAACAGAGACTTGATTACACTTGAAGGGAAAACGGAAGAGAGATTTGTAACTTTGAAGAAAAAAAAACCTGAATATGTAAACCAAATCTGTGGAGAAGTTAAATTAAGGAAAAAGTAGACATTTTAGACATTGAGATAGAAACATTAAGCCAAGAGATGGAAAAAGACTTAGATAATGTGGTGTTACTGGAACTAAGAGATAAGAAATTTTGTCTGAGATTGGCAACAGTTCCAGAACAACCTGATGAAGGTCATAGAGACAGTGGTTAAAACATTATCAAAACATCTGAAGAAGATATGGAGGCAGAAGTGGACAAGGTGTACAGAATTAATATAAGATATACAAATTAAGAAATGTATGAAGAGATATGTGTGTGCTTTTTCAGGAAAAAATAAGATTAGGTTTTGCAACAATATTTTAAATAAGATAAAAACAGATAATTTTACTCAAGGAAATATATATTAGAATACTGCATAAGCAAAAAGAATATACTTTTGATATATACAAAGAATTGCCAAGCTTAAACAAAAAAAGATTCTGTTTTGCTGGGATGAACTGGAAGGAACAATTTTAACCTTTAAGAGTAGTTTGAATTAACTCTGTCCAAAAGGTGTGAGAAATTCAAATGGAGCTATGCAGCAAATACAACAGGGACTTGAAGAAGAGACTGCTATGTTGGGTGCTACAAGTGTAGACTTTTCCAAGTTTATAAAATAAATAAGGAGTTTAAATATCTAACAAGGAATATAAATGGGGCAAGAGCCCCCCAGAAAGAAAGAAGGTACTTCAATACTTTCGGCTGTTACCAGGGGGACCTTTTATCAGGTTCGCCTGATTCGCCAGTTGCGGCCCTTTCTTGATCGGGATTCCTTGTGCACAGTCATTCACGCCCTCGTCACCTCTCGCCTTGACTACTGCAACGCTCTCTACATGGGGCTCCCCTTGAAGAGCACCCAGAGGCTCCAGCTGGTCCAGAATGCAGCAGCACGGGTAGTGATGGGAGCAACATGGCGCTCCCATGTAACACTGCTCCTGCGCGAGCTGCACTGGCTCCCGGTGGTCTTCCGGGTGCGCTTCAAGGTGTTGGTTATCACCTTTAAAGCGCTCCATGGCATAGGGCCTAGCTATCTCCGAGACCGCCTGCTGCTACCAACGACCTCCCATCGACCCGTGCGCTCCCACAGAGAGGGCCTCCTCAGGGTGCCATCAGCCAAACAATGTAGGCTGGTGGCCCCAGGGGGAGGGCCTTCTCTGTGGGGGCTCCTACCCTCTGGAATCAGTTGCCCCCGGAGATAAGAAGAATCCAGGACCTCAATGCCTTCCGTCGTTCCCTAAAAAACCATCTTTTTCAGCAAGCCGGGTTGGCTTAAGAAGAAATTTTTAAATTCTTTTAATTAGTCTGTGATTCTTAACTTTCGGGCCAAAATTTATATATATTTTTAAATGTTTTAATATTTGTATTCTATGTTTTTTATCTTGGCTGTACACCGCCCTGAGTCCTCAGGGAGAAGGGCGGTATATAAATTGGAAATTAAATTAAATTAAATTAAATTAAAATACTTGAAAAACAAAGAAGAAAAACTTTGTCAAAAGATTTAAATCACATCAACAGTGATTTGATAGCGATTATTGATTATGTGCCATCAAATCAGTGTTGACTCAGTGATCACACAGATAAGAGTTTCTCCATGATAATCTATCCCTCCTCAAAGTACTTCAGGTCTTCAAACTGTGCACCCATTGTCAATGTAACGGAGTCCACCCATCTGCTGGTCATCCTCTTCTTCACCTTCCTTCTCCCTTTCCCAATATTGGAAGCAGGTCTTTGTGTACTATGCCCA